TTGCTTAACTAATTCCATGCTTGGCAGTCTCAAAAAGCTGACCTCCCTCTGCAAGAGCTGTCCCTGTTGTGTGGCACAGTTGAGAACACACCAGAACCCATACCCAGCCTGGGAAACTTCGGACTCGAATAATCTCTCTCTGTTCCACTTCCTCACTAACAAAATGAATATAGCCATACAGTTAATAAAGAATAATCAATTAAAAATTGTAAACTGCTTTAGAATAAGTTATTTTAAAACTAATGATCTTTAAAAAGAGCTATCATTAGTCTTAGGGTTCTACAAACTACTACTATAGGCCAAATCCAGCCTGCTGCCTGCTTTCGACACAGCCCCATGTGCTTCTTTATGGATTGTTTGTGGTTTTTCTTGTGCTTCTAGGGCAGTGTTCAGTAGTTGCAAGAGAGATCACATCACCCACAAAGCTGAAAATATTTACTATCTAGCCCTTTATAAAAGTTTTTCTGACCTGTCTTATTAAGAGGTATTTTATTTCATAGCAAGTCACGTTTCATTTTCCTACAAAACAAAAATTCCAGTTGCTTAATATGACATATTTCACAGCACAGGCCCTAAGCTCAACAGAGACCTTCAATAATAATAATACTATATTAATAACACACAAGAAATTCATTACAAAAGTTTTCTGCTATGTAAATCCATTACTGTGAACAGAAAAGTCCTCAGAATTATTTAAATCTAATTCCTAAAAGAACAATGAGCTCAGAGCTGAGATTTATTTCTGGTGTGTATTTTAGGGGGAAAAAATCAGTATTACATTATCCCTATTGTGTCTCACAGCAATGAGGGCGACAAAGCTGCCCAGAGTTGCTGGTGCCAAACACACCGTGGGAGCTCAAGATTAATCAAAATGACATCTCCAATTATTTCCCTTCCTAATCAGGCCTAACCATCATGGGACTTCCAGCAAATCGATAAGCAAAACTAGATCCCCTCATCTCTCCCAACCTGCTAGAGCTGCATTTTTAGAACCAGAAGATGAGGACCCTCACTGTGACATAAATACTCCTCTACTTTGCTTATTTCCCTTTGCCATGAGATGACATGCCCGTCTACGATGCTGACTCTTTCCCTGGCATGCACGCATCATGGAAAGATACACCTCTTGTTATTTCAACATAAAATAAGTATGGGGGTAAATGGCTCTAGAATATACTTGCACATTCTACCAAAGAATCTCAGAATAAGGCAGGAATGGGCTGTTATAAAGTGTTTGTGAAAAACCAAAGTCTTATAACCCATTCTCAACACCTAGAAAAAGGTGGCACAGGGACTGGCCTGCATCCCTCCTCCCCCTCCCTGAACCTCCCACCAAGGCAGACTTTGGGCACAGTTGAAAATTACTTACTTTTGGCTCCAAGCCCATCCCCTTGCCTTTTCTTTCTAGGCCCATTTCCCCCTAGCCTTACCCCACTGACACCTCCTGTTTTCCTCTCTATGGGCTCTGGAGTTGCTCTAATGCCAAAGGATCTGATAAATGCCTTAGTGTCAAGTTATTTCTCTTTCAAGCATTTAGAGGTGGCAGGATGCTGAAGAAATGAAGCAAAGCATAGGACTGTTCATACAAGGGACTAAGTTTGAAACTTTTAGCAAGGCTGAAAGGCAAACACTCAGAAAAAATTGGCTAGAGTAGAAAATACACAGACTTATACCTGAGGAGGTAAAAGATGCTGTGGGCCTCAGAAACTCTAGGGGAGACTTGGAGGAGAAAGCTAAGAAGATACCTACACTCTCAAGCCATGATCTACAAGCCATCATAGTTGGCCAATGTTAAGATGAAACCATTTGTACTCAATCTACTGAAGCCCAAGAATATGTGGACTAGTTAATTTGTTTGTTCATTTGTTCATTCATTTGTTCGTTCGTTCGTTCATTCATTCATTCATTCATTCATTCATTCATTCATTCATTCACGTGCCAGGCACATCAGTGAACAAACACATTGTACGTCCTCAGAGACCACTTTTCAGACTAACTGTTTTGGTCTTAACTGATGTTTTTTCTCCCTGACTTTATGAAACTATAAATGGAAAACCTTCCTGATTATGAATCTTTCCACCTAAGGAAAAGGCAGAAATAGAAATCAAGTACAATAAACATGGTGAAAGTATCTTAGCTAGCTGAAATCCATCTTGGGAATGAAAAATAAATCATTAAATTTTAGCCAAAATTGGAATTTCAGAGTTTAAAGGGAAGCCAAAACAAAGCTAGTACCACACACAAGACTAAAAGGATTAACAAACTTATTTAAAAGGAGTAAGTATGGTGAGGAAAGTTAAGTTGCCAGCCACCTCCACAGAGCGCTGTGGGACTCAGACGAGATCGTCCATGAGAGGATGCTTTGAAAAAGTGTAGAGGCCCATCACAAATGTGAAGGCATTGATACAATTATTAATAACATTTTCAGGAATCATAAGCTCCATCTATAGTTGTGTTATGGTTGTTCATAAACTATTAATGTAGACAACCAAGAGACAAACAGTCTCACTGTCTTATTTGGAACAACTATTCTATAAGTTAATACTAATTAACTATTAATATTAAATAATGTACACTAAATGTGTGCATGGTGCATGCTATTTGATAATAACAATTCTAAAACAAACTTTTTATAGAAAACAATATCAATAATCAACTGTAGGAGATTCCTTAAAGCATGATGTGTTCATAATGACCACTATGTTGATCATTGTCCGTTTGACCACTTACTGCATCCTTTCCCTACCCTCTGTGTCCTGTTCTGTGCCCCAGGCTGATGCTGAGAACTGAACATCCTTCTCTGCCTTCCAGCTGAACTCAGTTAATAAAGGTGATTGTAGAAGGAGAGAGAAGAGAATTTCTTCCAACTCTCCATCTTGGTCCTGCATCTTGGTGGGAACTGTTGTTCTTCCATTACTTCAGGGAGTGACCACTCCTCCTCAACTTCAGCTCACACTGGGTTCCAGTAACATTATTTGCTGTTCTTGCTACTTTAGCCCTAGAGGTGGTAAGAGTTTCCTGATACAGCCAGGGTTAGGGTGATGGAGGCTTCACTACCCATTCCTTGTCTGTTCCCTAATCCCTACCCACATCCCAATAATAGTCCTCTCATTAAAGTCTCTTCCTTTGACCCTCCTACATTGAATTCAGTTTCCTGCCAGGACTGTGACTGAAACATAATACAGACATCTTTTTATTGACATAGAAAGATGTCTGACAGAAAGCAGATGAAAATATTAAGAGCAGTTACCTTTGGGCAGTGAGATAGGATTTTTTGTTTTTCTCTATGTTTTTCTATATCTTTCAAATGTTCTACAATATTTGATTATGATTTTTGGAAGTATAAAAAGAAATAATAAAATTAACATACAATGTGGTAATAAATATGGTCTCAAGAAGTACTAGTGGTTCGGCTCCCCTCCTTTAACTGCTCACCTCTTCAAAACATAAGTTAAAAAAAAGCTGCATAGCTTAAAAAGTACCATGATGGGGCAACAGAACCATAGACACTTGTGAGTGCCCAAGTGTGTCTATGTTCTTGCTGAATTCTATTTTCCAGGGAAAATGTTTGATTAGCAAGTATTCACAATTGAAAACAATGCAACTGCACACATTCATAAGTGCATGTGTTTTACAGACTCATTTCACAAGCAGAAGTCAAGATTTTGCCATATTCTTTGATGATAAAGATGATAATAAAAGTAATAATATTTAACTATTTCTAAGGGCTTAGCAGCAGCTATAGACATTGTTATAAGCATTGCAAGTATTAGTCCATTTTATCCTAAAAGGAAGGCAGTACTATTACACAGATGAGGAAACTGACATGTGGAGAAACCAAGCAATTGGCCCAAGGTCTTATAGCCTGTCTGTTATCAAGCTCTGCAGGCAAGCCCAGTGTTTACATCTTATTTTATCCATTATACTTAACTGTCATTCAGGTTGATAGAATACTTAACAATTCTAAAACTCTCCTCATTTTATGTATATCATGCATAGAACAACGAGGGCCCTCATACTGGTTGCACACTTACAAATCAAAGTTTTAAGTTCCTCATCAAAACAAAGGAGAATAAGATCTTTCCCTCCTATCCTAGAGGTTGTGACAATCTAATGGGAAACAAGCATGAAATCTTATCAAAGCTTTAAAGCAAGGTATACATGTAAGGCAGATTATGTTGTACCTGCTATACATCAGTACATTAGCCATCATCATTAACACACAAAAGTCAAATGCAAAGAAAGCAGCAATTATTTTGGTGATGTATGGCTCTAAACTCTAATACAGTAAACTATCCAGTCTGTTAATAACACCCAACATTAAACCACCACTGATTAATCAATAAAAATCATGCAATGGTTTCAGAGAAATGTACTCTCTAGCACACTTCTCTGACTCACATTCATTAATTACCTCGCCTCGTTTGATATGTTCCCAGCATTTGCCTGAACTGTGTTACTCTCAAGTTATATAACAAAACTTTCATAACAACTTCAAGGTCTAAACTATACATTTGCCATGATATCAAAAGTTCAATTGAGCCACTCAGTTTTTAGTTTCCCTGACTCAACTTTTTGGAGTTTTGTAATTAATTATATTCCATTATTACTGGTTATCAATTAACTCAAAATGTTGCTGAGATGGTGAGTATGCTGAAGAAGGCAGAATTTAATGATAATTTGAGACTAGTAGGACACTAAATTTCTCTCTTGTTAATAATTAAAGTAGATAACTTATGTTTTTATTTATAGCTTCCAGATATATCCGGCTCATTCCTGTGCACTGCCCTGTCAGCTAATCGTCGGCTGGTCAGGATCTGACGTGGGTCTTTCTGTTTTATTTTCCACATCAGCCTTCAGCTGAAGCTGTTAAACGCAGCCCAACCAAAAGTCAAAACAAGTGAGGTCATTGCAGCATATTTTTCTGGAATTCTCTGCCTAGCCAAATGTTTTAATGCATAAATATATAAAGGATAAAAAGGGGTAAATTTTCAATTTACCTGTTTCAGTCTCCCAGATGTAAACAGAGTCATCTGCACATCCAACAATTAAAAAATTCTCAACAGGGTGCCATTTTATTATCTTCACAGGAAAAAGGTGCTTCCGGGCACAAAAGAGAAACCTCTTCTCCTCAAGGTGAAGGAGAGCCACGGAATGGTCACCGCACACACAGAAAATTACTTGATTACTTTTTAGCTGTGGAAAAAACAAACAAACAAAAAAAAACAAATAATTTTCTTTGTAAGTAGTCAAATGCTTTCTTTAAAATTAAATCAGATCTTTTCCCCCTACTAATATAAAATGTCTATTAAAGCCCTCTTTATAAAATGACATTCCACTTTGTACAGCACCTTTCCACACAACAGTCTAGAGGGGAGCTTTAAACACCAAGTAGATTTAAACCCAACAACCCATCAGGAAGGTCAAGAGATGCAAGTAAAAAGGAGAATTCCAGGCCACACGCACTTATAAGATAAATGAAGGACTTGACCATCACTCAGCAAATTCAGGTAGTGAGGCAGACATTGGAAATAATGCAGAATAAAATAAACTCCAGAACTAATTTGTTGCCACAAAAAGAAGCTATTTATAGACACAAGCTTAGGTCCAAGGGTATCATCAGCTGGTATTTTCCACTTAAAACGTCAAAATGTGATTTGGTGCTGTTCCCAGAACTCTACAGATTCTAATCCAAACAGGAAGCTCAGTGTAGACACAATCTAAAGAGGTAAGCATTAAATGGTTCCCAATGAATGTTCAGGCTCAAAGACACAAGGACAAAAATAGGCTCATAGGAAAAAGATTCTTAAGCTACTTTGAAGAAAGTCAGCATGTGGTTACCTTGAGCACAGTTCAGGACAAAGACTATCCATGCTGGATGCTGCTGGGGCTACTTGGGAAAACTTTATAAGGCAGTTCTGCGCAGCAGTCCATGAATACAGTGGAGTGGGGTAGGGCAGGGACAGAGGAGAGCAGGTAGTGACTCTTCATTTCTAATCACTGTGGTATATGGATGCTCCCACTTTCACAAAGCCAACCAACCAGAGTTTCAGCTGTTATGACTAAAGCAGCATTTGGGATCCCTTGACAGTTTCCCAGTGCCCATCATTAACCACATTGTGGGGTATTGGGGGAACTTGTTATTCTCCTAATTGTTTTTAAGGAGACTACAGAAGTCTTGAAGAAAAAAATATCACAAAATGGCAGGTGAATACATGGGGAGAGCCTGGACTTGTAGAATGGGGAGGATAGTACTGCCTCCTCAATATTACCTCTTGGAGAACCTGCCCAACCCGCAGCCTTTAGGATGGACAGCCCAAGGTATTTCAGGGGACTTACAACACACATGAGTATACACATATAACACATGAATACAGACCCTATGGCCATGAATAGACATACGCTAGAGACCCACACGAGGCAAATTGGAATCTTTTTTGTAGGCATTTAAGTGTTGTAAAGGTAAAACAAGTCATAAGGAGAAGCAACAGAAAAGCAGACTTTTGAAGTAAGGAGACTCAAGGTAGGGAGTAACCTTTGTTTCTGTATTCAAGGTCCTTGCTGTAGTGTTTCATATTAAAGGTATAAAGATTGTCTCTTATGCCCTTTCAATAACCTCTCTTTTTAGTTTGGCTTGGTTTGAATGAGTCTTGCTTCTTCGAGTTAAATTATCTGTGACTGAGGCAGAAGTAAAAGGGATCAGGAGTGGAACTGACTTGGACGACCATCCTGGAGCTGAGAGAAAAAAGAGTTTAGAAGAGAACAAAAGGCTTGTCAATTTTATTTATCTTTTCAAAGAACCAGCTTCTGGATTGGTTGATCCTCTGAATTGTTCTTTTCTTCTCTATGTCATTCAGTTCTGCTCTAATCTTGACTATTACCTTCCTTCTACTTGTTCTGGGATTTATTTGTTGTTGTTTCTCCAATTCTTGAAGTTGTAGTGTTAGGTCTTTTATTTGAAATGTTTCTATCTTTTTTAGGTAAGCCTGTATTGCTATGAACTTCCCTCTCAGGACCGCCTTTGCTGTGTCCCATAGGTTTTGGACTGTTGTCTGTTCATTTTCATTTGTTTCCAGAAATTTTTTGATTTCTTCTCTTATCTCATTATTGGCCCATTCACTGTTTAATAGTCTACTGTTCAGTCGCCATGAGTTTGCAAGTTTTTGAAGTTTCTCTTTGAGGTTGATTTCCAGTTTCAAGCCCTTGTGGTCCGAGAAAAAGTTTGGTATTATTTCAATTTTCCTGAATTTGCTGAGGCTTGCTTTGTGTCCTATCATGTGGTCTATCTTTTAAAAAGTGCCATGAGCATTTGAAAATAATGTGTATTTTTCTTCTTTGGGATGTAAGATTCTATATATGTCAGTTAAGTCTCTTTGATTCAGTGTGTCATTCACCGCCACAATATGTTTATTAATGTTTTGTTTGGAAGATCTGTCCATTTTTTGACAGTGGGGTGTTGAAATCCTCTACTATCAGTGTATTGCTGTCTATATCTTTTTTGGTGTCATCCAACAATTTCCTTATAAACTTGGGGGCTCCTATATTGGGAGCATATAAGTTTACAATGTCTATGTCTTCTTGATAGCTTCTTCCTTTAAGTATTATAAAGTGCCTCTCTAGGTCTCTTTTTATGGCCTTTGTTTTGAAATCTACTTTGTCTGATACAAGTATGGCAACCCTGGCCTTTTTCTCTTGCCCATTTGCTTGGAATATTTTTTTCGATCCGTTTACTTTCAATCTGTGTAGGTCTCTTGCTCTGAGGTGGGTCTCTTGTAGGTAAAACCCCAGTACACTGTTGGTGGGAATGTAGACTGGTGCAGCCGCTGTGGAAAGCGAATTTCCTCAAAAAGCTGAAAATGGAACTGCCTTTTGATCCAGTGATTTCCCTGCTAGGACTATATCCTAAGAATACCAAAACACCAATACAAAACAACCTATGCACCTCAATGTTCATAGCAGCACAATTTACAATAGCCAAGTGTTGGAAGCAACCTAAATGCCCATCAGTAGATGATTGGATCAAAAAATTATGGTACATATACACAATGGAATACTACGCAGTAGAAAGAAAAAAGAACTACTAAACTTTGTGACAGCATGGATGGAACTGGAGAGCATTATGCTAAGTGAAATAAGCCAGGGGGCAAAAGACAAATACCATATGATCTCACCTATAAGTGGAACCTAACCAACAATACAAAGATGCAAGGAAAGTAAGACCAGCAACACTGAAAGGAAAAGAAATCAACAGAGACAAGAGGGAAGGAGGGGGGGCAGGGAAAAGGAAGGGAAGGGGAAAGTCAAGGAACATATAGCAAGGACTCATGGACAAAACCAAAGGGGAAGAGCTGAGGGAGGAAGGAGGGAGGGGACAAGGGAAAGTGGTGGGGGGGTAGGCAGAGACAAATGTATTTGAAAAAATAAATTTAAAAAAAAAGAAGAAGAAGAGAATAAAAGATAAAGGAGGACAACCTCAGGAACAGAAGACATGTCAAGGTATCCCAAATCAGCTCATCAAAGTTTGTTTTTAAGTCAGTTTGCTTTATTTCATTATTTAATTAAGTTATTTGTATTGCTGATACATTGTTTTATTTATGTTTTACTGCAGAAATACAGTGTAAGTTGAGTCTATGCTTACTTTTAGAGCTGTTTTATAATATTACTAAAAGAAATACTTTTTGCAAGCCAATCAACTAATTTACAAACTCAGGAAACTGAAAAGTTGTTGTTAATATTCTAACACATATATAAGATCTATGAAATTTAAGTGTACATTGTGTAAGAAAATTATACCTGAAAGCATTTCTTTTTGCCCAGTACAAAGTAGAAGCTCATGAATTTGTTAAAGGTTATTATTTGTTAAATAAATAAAAGAACAAGAAAAACCTATTTAAGAAAAAGAAAATGTAACTATCAATATTATTATTAAATTGTTGAAGGTAAAAGTTAATTTCTAATTTGTAAATTGTATATATTTGAATTGTTTTAAATTGAGTGTCATTACTTTTATTACTTTATTAAGAAAGAAAAGATAGTTCTATTAAAAATTAAGATATAGAACTAGGAGAAAAAAAAGGATAGACTGTAAGTACTTTAGGAGAATTAACTGGCTTTTATAAAGCCAAGGATTGACAAAACCTTTGCTTTAGAACCAAATAATTCATATTAGCTGTAATAATAAAATGTATAAAAAAGATGAGAAAGAAATGCATAAAAATCATCTAGTTGTAATGTTAAATAACTTCTAAATTTATGTGCTATATTTTACTCTTTTTCTTAACTTACTCTGATGTTCTCTGGTGACATCAAAAGACTTGTTACTGGACCAGCTTCCAAAAAGAATTTATGCAAAATTTCTTCAGTAAAGATATCCCACATGATGACACATGAGTCCCTATCCCCGGATACCAGCCAACTTTGGTCTAATTTTGAAGAGAGACCATGTGGGTAAAGTAATGAAGTAACGCTTTGGTGATGGCCTTTGAGGACTTTGTAAGGAAGGGAATCTGAAAAACAACCAACACCAGATAATACAAGAGTTATTTTTGTCCAAGAGATAGTCCTGAGACAGCATTTTACAAATTTTTAAGGTAAGAGAACTACAAAATCTAGGCAGTTGGCTAACAAATTAGGTAACAACCCTTGGGCCATCTCAAAGGCAAGTACCTCCTCATAAGTCGGATCATCACTGATGAAGCACTAATGCTGGTTGGTCAAATTTTTTTAAGGACATTAGCAAGTTACTAATACTAGTGCCATGAAATAGCAAAAGCTGTTCTAAAAGAACAAACAATTTTGAACTCTGTCTCTACAAAGAAATATTAGAACATTGGTGCTATACTTTAAATTAGCACAACCGACACTGTAAAAGAAAAGCAAAATTTCATAGATTATTTTTGCTTTCAAAGATATAGAGATTACCTAGTTCCACCTCTCTGTTTTACAGACAAAGTATTTGAGGCTCAGTGAGGTTAAGTGACTTGAATCCCAGTGAAAAAGCACAGCATAACTTTTAAGAGCATAGCTTTGCTGTTAAATAGACCTGGTTATACTTTTCTGGGTCTGTCACTCAATAGGATGTGTCACCATGGACACGTTTCTTTCTCCCTCTAAGCCACAGGTACTACACCTGAAAACACTGAGGTAGATAATTATAACGACTGTAGCTTTTGCTTCACACAAGACTATAGTTGTGTGGAATAGGTAAGATAAAGTCCATAATTTTTTAGTACTGGCACATGGTAGGAAAGGGTATTTTGTACAATAGTTGTGCTACAACTTAGGGCTATCGAAACCCAGTTTCCACAGTTTCTCCTTTTGCTAGCTAAATCTAAAAAATTTGGAAAGGACCACAGACCACAAACCCTCTCCATTCAAATTAAAAATGAGTCCCAAAGAGTCATTATAATTCCTATTAAAGAATCATGAGTTATTTCTATTTCATCAGGTGCACCCTCACTTTATATCCCCTGAGCAAACAAAGATAAATAGTAATTCATTTTAAAAGTTGGTGAAAATAAAACCTAAAAGTCAAATGTAGGCTTCTGATTTTTTTTCTGGATTAAACAAATCAGCATTGGTAAAAAATGTTAAGGTCTTAAGCTTTTTCACGAACTTTTAACAGCAGCCATTGAACTGCATAGCAGTATATTACTTCTCAGTTCATTGCTATTCACTTCACTATTCCAGTCAATCACTGAATCACAAGTTAGTTAACATTTAGTAAGTAGCCAAAGTAAGCTGAGGACAATAGTAGACAAGGTAAAAAGTTGTTTGTTTGTTTTTTTACATTGAGATTTGGTCTTTACTGTTAAGGACCTTGCAGTCAAGTCGGTTCCATACAATAAAAAATAGAACACAAATTTATCTACACATCTCCAAATCTCAATCATGTCCTAAATTTTTCCTTCCTTTGCATAAGACAACTTACTACATAAATTGCTATTGTAACACACACAGGTATATAAAAGCATAATTATATTTCATTAACAAAGAAATAAAAATTAAAACAGGGAGATAACTTCTTTACTGATTGGCAAATGTTGAAATGTTTAATAGCACATAAAGTTGGCTAAGTTTTGGGAAACAAGGCATTTGCATCGGCTGCTAGTGAACGCACATGTATGTTGATGCATCTTCTTTGGAGAATATTTTTAGATGTATTTTCAAAATTAAAAATAGGCACAAATGTTGATCCAGTAATTCTGGCAATTAATACCATAGATATACCCACATATATGTGTAGATAGTTAATCCTGTATTGTCTTAGCAGCCAAAGCCTAGAAAAGCTTAACCATCCATGAATGAGATATTTTTAAAAATTAAAATTTGACTCTTATTAATCACTTAAAATGAGCTCATAAAGTATGTGTTCCAAAATATTTTATTAATATTTTTTAAAAACATTTAAATAAAATGTGCAAAATATGTTTCTATTTGTATAAACTACCATATTTTGCCATGTATAATGCACACTCATATTTTTGGCCCAAACTTTTATGAAAAATATCTTTTTTTTTCATTTTTGAATTCAATTTTTATTTAGATTTAGAAATAAAACTAATCATCATATTCCAGGGTATTATTTTGAATATGGATAACATTATTGCTTTCTAGACTTACATTTTTAACACATAAGCATAAATAAAAGAATTAAAAATATTTATATAGATACGGAATTAGCACTACCCATGTATAATGTGCACCCTTATTTTTCTCTCAAAAATTTGGGCAAAAGAGTGCACATTATACATGGCAAAATAAGGTAATTAAAAAATGTATACTGCTATGTTGGTATATGCTTACATATGCATAAAAATTTTGAGAAAGATATGAAGAAATTTATTAACAGTTGCCTTTGGTGAAGAAAAGAGGAAAATCAAGGAAGGGAAGAAACATACTTCTCATAGTATAATCTTCTGTTTGACATTTAAAAACATATATATGTGTGTGTGTGTGTGTGTGTGTGTGTGTGTGTACTTTAATGTTAAAACACGTACAAATGTACTAGCAAATGCCAGCAATTTTTTTAAGCTTCAGAAATATTCTTAGTACAGCTTCTTAGAGTTGAAGTTAGAGTTTAGACAAATTTAATAAATTAATTAATTAAAATTTAATGACCTTTTAATAAAGAACCGCCTTCTAGAAGTCCTGCTTTGGCAGCATTCAAAGCCTGTGTAATGAAAATTGTCCCATCTTCACAGCCACATACTAGTTTATCAAGACTTGGAACATACTCTGATGAAGTGACTACCACAGTTCCAGTTCCATCTTTAAACCCAGAGAAGTAGTCAATAATACTTTGTGACATGATATGATGCTTATCAAAATTATCTTGAAGGGTCCACGTGGTAGTTATTGGTATCTCTAAAATGAAAACACACAAAAAGAAAAAATTGTTTTATAGTCATTATAAATTTGGAAAATATCATCAAGGCTATCCCTTGGGGATACCTAGAGGTTGTTGTCATCCTAACTAATAGTGGGCTATAGGCAGAAAAGTTCTACCATCTGTCATTTTCACTCAAAAATGAAACTTTATTGCTTCTCTGTCCTTCAAGGAGCCTTGGAAGAATCAATGTGTATTTGTGAATTCATTTTATGCTTAAGTCAAGTGAAAAGAACTGAGAAACACTTGCAGTGATATAAAATGTTAGACCATTCTCCTGAGTTCTTTACTTGCCTTAGCAATGTGAAGAAGGTAAATTGGGTTCTTTTATTGTGTGAGGTAAAGTGGAAGAAATTTATTCTTTAAATGTCAAGGACTGGAATATTCAAAGTCATACCTCACCCCCAGGCAACTATCTATGGCTACTAAGAGCCCTGGTTACCATTTTATGTAGCTGACCACCCAAGCATTCGAACTGGGCCTCGGGTCAGCTCAGGAAGTGAGAGAAGTTTGGCATCCAGGATCATAGAAGGCAAAATAAAGCCAACCTACCTCTCTATGCAAGGGTTTCCTTGACCTTACAGCATACGTGGTACAGTGACTGAAAATCTTGACCCCTAAACCTTAGACCAGCACCAAGAGTTGTTATAAATGTCTCTGGTTCTAATTATAAAGAAGGTTGACTGGACACTTAATTCTGCTGCTCTAAGTAGAACAGATATGGGAAATCCTAGAGCCGCCAATCACCAAGCTGCCTCAGCAGTGGGCATGGTATGCTTTTTCACTTGTAAGATGGGCTTGTAAGAAACTTTTCCACACAATACACCAAGCTCTAAGTCTATTTCTTGACCCATTTCTTCTTCATCTAGGTGTAAGCGAACCCTTTTTAAAACATCTGGGATAAGGACTCTAAAAGTGCTACCAGTGAAATTATTTCCTAATGGAAACTTGCACTTAGAAATTCAAGTATAAAGAACCCTGATTCTGCTGTGCCCCACACGATGATGCACAGAGATGATGCACTGGCTTTGGAATAAGGGGAAATGAGTAAGACAGGGACCTTGATACATAGTCTCAGGAGTTTGAAAGTTTTCCACAATAATGTTTACTTTGATGATTTCAGTTTTTAATTCTAAGAAAAATTAAGATAAGCAAAAGTTAAATCATCTAATCATTCAAATTGCCAAATGTTTTAGCGCCTGAGTTTATATCTGCACTCACTGTTCCAAGCAGCTGCAGCAATCCCATAGAGAAATTGGTTGAAAAATGGTACAGTATATGGACATGATAAAATCGAAACTATGAATATGATGTGTCAGCCTACCTTATATTGTCATTGCTTGCATTCATTTTACTTCAGTAAAACATCACTCATGTTAAATTAATGTTATTTTGTATTACATTGGTTGTTTGTTGTATAAAATCTATAAGTGATTTCCGTTGGCATCTAACGCATAGCAGTACATGAGAAAGTATTTCTTGTTTTTAGCCTATGTGACCCAACTTAGAAAAACACTGAGTTAATTATAAACTAGTTCTCAGGAACACGTATTATAAATGAAGATTGTCTTACCTCTAGGAGAACCATCAAACTTGGATACAGGGACATCAGGGATGTGCCACAAAGTAATTCTTCCTGAGACTTCTCCAGAGAAAAGTACCTTATAAAAAGGCTCTTTCCTTTCATTCATATAGCCCATAACAAAGGGAAGGCTCTAGTTAGAAACAAAAGGTTAGTTTTTATGTAGGAAAACATCTAAACATAAAATGATAGCCACGGTTTTTAAATGGAGGAGCAAAACGTCATAGATGAACTAAATTGTTTCCATTTATTTCCCACTGTTTAAAATTTTTCAAGTACTCATAATCTCTTATTCAAGACAAAAAAGTGTATAAAGTAAAAAGAAATGCTATCACCTAAACTTCAGAGACTTAGTAAGACTAACATTCATTGAACGTGTTCTGTGTATATGTTACATATACTGTGAGGAGTTTTACATGTATTCAGTTAAATAACCCTCACCATAATTATGTGAAGTTAGTACTACCGCTGTCTTCACTCTACAGATGAATAAACTGCCAGTGAAGAATATGATTTGTTTAAGGTGATATAAACTATAGGCGGCAGTGGTCCTGAGTCCAGTAATTCTGACTCAAGAGCCCATGTCATACTAACAATGCTCTACTGTCAGGAAGACCTGACTTTTTTATGTTCCAATTGTCAGTTAAAATAGCAACAACTAATATGTGGCTAGTCATTTTGTATAATTAATATAATACTTTCCACTTTCTGTTGACCATTTTTCAGCTTCACCATACGTGATTTCAAATTTCCTAAGTGTCCACAGGAAAAAAATAAAAATGAGCCCATAAATTGTTAAAATATATATTATTATGTTATTGATATAAATAAATACATACCATATATTTTACAGTTATAGTTTATAGTAAGGCTATATGTTGAGAAAGAGAGAGAGTTATAATTGTGCTGAGGCAGAGTGTGAATATCAGTCACCAGTGCTCTGAAAGACGCGCTTTCACTAGTGAACAAGACTAGGATCTCCCCAGTACCTCCATGCAGTATAGATGTTCTTTGGGTAGACTGTATATAGGGATTATGTACCAGGGATCAAAATGATTAAGTGATTAGAAAATCTAAAAGTACTTTTGACTTATAAATAAAAAGTCACACTGAAAAGAAAACCAACTGCTGGTGCTAGATTTAAAGACGTCTAAGAGGGTTTTATTGATGTGGTAACTTCATAAATTATATAAACATCTAACTATTATGCTGTACACTTGTAAGTAATATAATACTGAATGTCAACTGTAATTAAAATTTTTAATAAAAAATAAGTGTAAGAAAGTGAGAGTGCTTAGTCAGAAAATACCTGTGTGAAGGTCCAAACTCAGATATATTAGTGGGAAAATTTTATAATGTATCTTTAGAGAATATTAAGGGCCATAATATTGCTACATTTAATCCTTACCACAAAGCTACAAAATAAGTAAATATTGTTATTATTCTTATTAGGGAGATAAGGAAACTAAAACAGGAAGAAAGTAAGAAACTAATTCAAGACAAGTCAAACAAGATATATAATCCTCTCTAGTCCCAAGAAATGAGAGCATTGCAGAAGAAAAGACAGTTCCTATGAAGTCAGTTCTCTGAATAAATTTTTTTTGTTTTGTTTTTTTTTTAAGATCTAGAAGTCAATTTGGGGTGTTAAGAGTTCTTACAGCCATCATCAATGTAGGTGGTATAATGGTGTTGATAAATGGCTTCTCAAACCGTCTCACCCTTTAGGAACCTTAGAATTGACTAGTTCCACTCCCTCAAGGTTTTGCTGAGCGCTCCACAGAGGCTGGCGGGTTTCTCAGGTTGGTGGCAGCGCTTCCCTTCCCTCCCAGCTCCATGCGCTACCCCTACCGCCCACGGTCCCCTGCTGGTGTTGTCCCCTCTACCCTCAGCCTCTGCCCTGCATTTCTCACTTGCTCACGCCCGCCCCTTGAGGCCTTGATCATCCTCCTTTCCTGTAGTTCTTTCTCCAGTTCTGCAAGTCACCTGACAACCTGCTCAGAATCCCTTGCCATATGAAATCTCATTGTTCATCCTAAGAACGAGCACCTATCCTCCAAGATCTAGTACCTATCCTCCAAGATGTCATAAAATAGTCATTAAGAGTGAATTTTCTTGCGCTAGCTGCTTGTATTTAAATACTGGTTTTAGCACATACTAACTCTATTAAAGAAGCTGGTTACTTGATTTAGACAATTAATTTCTTTATGTCTCATGGAGGCTAATAAAGGGACCTACTATGTGGGATGTCTGTCAGATTGAGTTGATAAAGTAAGGTTCTTAGAATGGCGCCACGCATTTGGTATGTACTCACTAAATATTAACAATTCTCCTTTTCCATTTTCAGAGCAACGGAGAAACTTACTCCAAAGACCCATTACCAGACTGTCAGGCCAAACTGCCTGAGTTCAAATCCTGGCAATTAACCTCTCTGAACATTGTGACAACTGATGTAAATTAAGCAGTGTGTATTTTGACAATAATAAGAATTATCATCATGATGTCTGTCATTACTCTTAGTTCATGCGCTCAAATTTCTTACCTGCAGTCCTTTGGTTGTTTCTATTGCTGTTACTCCCCCTTAACAGTGTAGTCTTACTGCTCAGCTGAAACCCTGGGGAGCCGGGCTCCCGGCCCTTCCAGCCAGCAGCCCTTTCACAGACCTCATCAGCTGTGATGTGACGCTACGAAGACTCTCATAAATCTACTGAAAGGAAGGGGGAGTCCCCATTCTTGCTACTAAACTCCATCCACAGATATGTCCTCTACATTATAAATAGTAACCCAGAGAGCATGTTACTATCAAACCTTTAAATTCAGTTCTATAGTTATCACTCCAAAAATAAACTGACAAAAAAACAGTCCAGTCAATACTGCATGTTCATACAGCACCCTTCCCTAAGCTCACTAGGTCTATCAAACTCATCTTCCCACTCCACGAAAATGCTTCCATTACTTTCTAGCTGCAAGAGCAACTAAGAAATCTAATAATTAGTGAATAGCAATGACATTTTGAATAAGGAGAATAATATCTGACTTTCTTTTCTTGCCTGGATAAAAGGCCAAGGGTCTAAAAATAGGTATAACATCTTCTTTCAGTTTCAGATTATTCCATTCATATTGCACTGACTTCTAAGCACTTCATACTTGTAAAACAACAGAAGCAGGGGGATAAATGGTAATGAAGAAAATACAATAAAAATAAATTTAAAAATAAATTTCTTATGGATTAAAAAAATAAAATATAATACAGAAACAACTATGGTTGTCTAAACAAAAATTATGGATAAAAGGCCCATAAATCTTTATCTTCACATTTTGAAACAAAGCAAGGTAGCTTCCCATAATATTAGTATTTTTAAGATATTTTGTAATTACTGTCCTTTTTCTTCATAGTTATATATAGTGTTGATATTTGCAGTAGACTAGAAGCTCTTAAACCACACTACTTATATTTAGCTTTTAGGGGAAACTGTGCTTTATAAAAATGTATTCTGGAGGTGAAGAGGACGAAGGGAATCCTTCCAAAATAATTAAGAACACCTTTTTGAGTAAGACACAATACTGTTTTTGCAATCTACAGCAACACAAAGCTCTACTGTTGCCCACAGATGACTTAGATACGCTGCTGAATGCCATAATTCTAAAGCTTGCCTGTACCCCAGTGGTACCTGTAGTTCTAATTTTTGGCTAACAGCTTCTTAACTCTTTGCAACAAAGAGTTAAGCAGCTATGTTAGCAGAATAATCACTGAAGTATAGGATTTCCAACAGCTATGCTGTCTAATTAAGCAAACCATCACTCTAAAAATTAATATGTTTCCTTGGTCGGTACATCAATAATTCAAAATTCCTCCATTCTCCATGAAATAACTTTTGGATAATTAACTGATGACTAAGTCCAATAGGTTAAAAGAAAACACTTTGTTTAACACTACTATAATAAAATAACTGCTTCATTTCTCAGGCTTCGTAGAGTGTCAAAGATATAATTCAGATAAGTAAAAGCTCACAATTATATTCTCAAATTTCTTCCAGGAATAATAATTATATTTGTTTTAACAAGAAAATATGTTCAGAGAAGATCTAAATACATGTGAAAATGATCTCAATATAAAAAAAAGGACATAAACCATTTGATAAAGTTAAAAACCAGAGTAGATACATCAAAATGTTAATGTATCAAAGCATCTATCAAAAAGGTCACTGAAAAATGTCTGTGTGTACATTGACAGATTAAATATGGCAAAATATTGACAATTGGTGAATCTAGGTAAAGGATATGTAAGTGATGATTGTACTAATCTTTCAACTTCTTAAATATTTAAAAAAATCTTTCAATTAAAATAAGTAAATATGCATAAAATATTTACAGTGAATATTTATAATGGTCAAGTTGGAATTTTAATTCCCCCTTTTTTTACTTCTATAATTTTCCTATAATAAATATGTACATTTAATTTAACTTAAAAGAAAAGGATTTTTTAAAAGACAGTTTTCTCTTTAGTAGCCATTAATGGTTACATTTGATTTTCTCATTAACACCTTGATGTCATTCTTCAATTCAATGTTTTCAATCCTGACTCTGTTACAGACAAAGCAACACATCTAAGAAACGGAGTGAACAGCACTGAGGCAGCCCCTCTTTTCTTGCATTACCTTATTTTCCTGCACAGAAGTAGAGCACAGTAAATGAGGATAAATGGTCTCTTTAAGCACTCTTCCATCAGCAGGGTATGTGCTTTTTGAAAGCCCACTGCATGGCAAAAAATAAAAAGCAAAGTTTAGAACTTTGGGGTTCTTTATTTTTTTTCCTTCCCACTTTCAAAAGCCCGATGGTACCATTCAAGTTTCTAAACTCTAGCTAGAAATTGTTGGGTTAATAATTACAAGTGACTTTTTGAAAACGCAGCACCAGCTGTACAAGTTATACATGGTTAATCTCATTCCTTCATCCCCTGCTGTTTTATACAAAGGCAGAAGCCTACCAAGCTCAGAGTAAATCTTCTAGTGCCAAAGTTGTTTTGTTCTGGTTTTTGATCATGGGCAGCATGCGGAGATTTTTCCATAATAAACATCCCAAAGTTCATTTCCAACCTGAATGTTTTGTATGCCGCTCCCATGTGAGCCCACCTGTTCAGCAGCTGATAGATGTAACTGTGACCATCTTCTGTCCAGATGATGATTCTGTGAGCAGCAAGCACCTCTCCACCAGCAAAGAACTGCCCACTTCTACTGGCCTCAGACCGCAGAAGGGAAAAATCACAATAATCATAAACCTAAAGCACAAAATAAATGATACACATTAACAAAAGCTTCCAATCTAATCTGCCACTGAGATGAAAGATAAATTGTGCTCACCAAGACTATTCAGATGGCAGTGTTAATGCAACAACATATTAAGTATTAATGATAGCTCACACTGTACTCATGCATCAAGATATCTTACTAGTACTTATTTATCCTAAGGTAGATTTCAGTAGATTAACTTTACTTGGCTAATGCATCCATTAAGCACAGAGACTAGAAATCCCCAAATCTCCATACAATTTTATCCTTTCCATATGGATAGTCCAGCTTTAGCATTTGAAAAATTATTACACAAAAAGTTTAAATAGTATAAATCCTTTGCCAGACCATATAGTTAGCTTTTTTTTTTTTTTTTGGTTTAAAGTATATCAGCATATAAGTAAGATAACACAATGTTGTTAACTGAGCCAGGTATATGAAACATTAAAGGATGCTCTCATGTGGTGGTAGCTTAACTTTTTTTTAAGTCTTCTTGGAAACATCAGTGAACATATTTACAAGAAAGAGATGTACATGTCCTAAAAAAACAAGTGTAGTGACAAAGCAGAAAAAGAAAAAATATATAGTAAGACCAATTTACGTAGGTGAATAGTATTAGTTTTCTTTTTAAATCAGGGCAAGCATCAACTTTTGGAAATCTAGAGATAAATGCTTACTATTAATATTTTCCATTATTAATAATATGAGCATTTCCTATTATACATATAATCTCCTGAGAAGCAAAACAGCTGAATGTGAGGAGTGGAAAATTAATAAAAGTCAGTCATGAAAACCAGGTCATCCATGCTCTGGTAATAATGTTATATAGAGTTTGTATCACATTTTAAATCATATTCTTTTAACTGTTGCACTGAACAAAAAAAAAAATTAAAAAATTACATTTGTATATCACCGGTATTTATTAGGTTATTTTATAATACCTTCCAACATCTAGAAAATACCACCAATAGAAGTCTCTCCGTATATGTGCAAAATCGTATTGTTCGGCAGTTCAAGGAGTCAAGAAATTTGGATTCTTTTTCATAGACATCTTGCTTTTCCTTTAAAAGGAATGAAAACATTTTAGTACTAGTTCTAGGTAATTCATAAGTAAATATATCAGAAGATTTGCTCCTCTGAATGCCTAAAGTAGATGAGACCATTATTATAATATGAAAATAACTCCAGTTTCCTTTATAATTTTCTGAACTAAGAAGTTACTTTGTAAAAGGTGCGATTAGCAGGAAACCCCCTTGGACTCAAAGATTCATTATGTAAATACAATCACTCAACAAACATTTTGTGGGAGACTAGGCTAGGTGCTGGCTGGGAGGGTAAGTTACTGACGTTCTGACTTGACAGAAAGACGTACCAGAAAAAGAAAGAAAAATAATAATTTTTTAAAAATCCCGCAGTTTCTTAACTGTTATAATAGAAAAATACAAAAAGTGCTTTGGAAAAGTAGAAGAGTGGCCAGCATAGACTACTATATTTTCAATCAGTTTCTGAAAATGCCGGGGGTGTGTTTCTGGGGCTCAGTATGCCGATACGGTTTCTGGGCTCCCTCAACCAAGACATTTCTAAGGAGAGTCCAGAGCACCATGGGGCAGCCAAAGCAATTGTGTTGCCAGCACAACAAATATGTTCTTTTGTCCATCACCTCAACTTGCAGCCTAAAGCCAGCAGCAGGGAATACACTGGACTCCAGGGTATGTGACCCCCAGCTGTTCATAGTCCTCTCCCTGCTGCTGGACACGCACACCCAGAAACAAGAGGGCCTTCTGCTGGAAGGGACAAAAAGATATTCACCTATCATTTTTATTATCAATCAAATGTAATCAGTGTGTGTGTGTAGATTAAAAAAGAATTGTATATGTGTGAAGAGAAGGATGGAAGGACACAATCCAGCTGTTACCAATTCCCACCCTTGGCACTGGAAGCAGGAAGAGGGATGGGGGAAGCACACGAGGGTAAAATGTATACTTATCTATATTATTTGAACTTGGAAATTAAGCATGTATTATCCCTGTAATTTAAAACATTTTCAATAAATGGGGAGGAAAATAAAGGAGTTTCACAAGCCAACCTGAATGTTGCTGATAGATGAAGAGAGATCCCACACTTTAAGTTCTCCAGCTACTGACACCACCAAGAGAGAATCTTCTGTAAAAACAGCAAAGGTTGCATATGAGAGGACCATTGCTGTAACTGGTTGATGGAAAGATCATTTCGTAGTCATTAAGGATGGTGCAGGGCTATGCAGATGAAAAATATTCAGCTTTGTTGTTTATTTACATAAATATTTTAGATCAGGTTTTAATTTTTTTTTTTAATTCAAAGGGTCCCCCATGTAAAAGGAGAGCAGCATAAAAGCAGAACCATGTAAACACCATCACGTCGGCAGCACGACACCTTCCTATTTCAGCAGTCAGTGTGGAGGCAGCCTCCTTTTCCTGGGTGGATGCTCATTCCAGACACTAAATTCTCTTCATTAGCACATCTGGAAGGTACAGCAGGACGAAAGTTGCAAGAGTTCTGCTAATCTACGAGAATCCCGTTTGTCACTTTTAAAAATGTACCAAGCGAAACTGGGCAGTGGAAATGTAAGTGCTCCTCTTTCCACATCGTCTTAACCTCTTACTGACTTTCCAGAGACTTGAACCACTTACCTGGGTGTTCCCAGTTTTCTTGATCTGGCTTAGGGAGCTATCCCCACTAACAAGGAAACACAAAGAAGTATTCTAAATTCTTGCCCAATAACTTAACAAACAGTTCCAAAGTGGTATTTTTACATGCAGTCTCTTTGTGTTATATATCACTACCTTGTTATATACCCATTACCTTGAATTCTCACGGAGTGAACAATGCACATGCAGTTGATCCAATCAGGAGACTGAGATGATGTGAAAGTGTGAACAAGAGCCAAGGTTTTGGCGTCAATTATAAGAATGTCTTGATATTCTCCGCAGCACAGAAGCCAGCCTTCTCCTGTCATCCGGAAGGAGCAGTGGTAATACTGTGCAAGTGGAATTCAAGCAAAAAATTAATTATCACCAGCAATTAACATAATGTTGGCTGGGGTGAAAACTTCTCTGAATTTTAAGTTTTATCATCTATTCAATGAAGGTATTAGACTGACTAGCAACTAAAATTTCTTTTAGTTAACTTTTTCTATACTTCTACAGTGTTGACTTTGCACTTTAGCCTCACCTGTATTTCATAATTTTTTTTTAGAGAAAGGGGGATCATTCGCAAAGAAGGAGTTTTATTCCAAATACCAGGTTCCTTATTCTAGTGACATTGCTACATGTTAAGGAGAAATAAAAGTGTTTGAAGAGCATTTGAGGAATTCTGGTGCTGAGTAAGTTTTGAGAATGGCTTTTCATTAAAGATCAAGTAATAGAGTCTACCCTTGAAACCCTCTGCATAGGGTTTGGGCCCCAGAACAGAGCTTGTACTTGTTGCAGTGCAAGTCATCAATGCCAAAAGCAACAAATGAAATATGAAGAGCTGTCAGCACCATTGTAATCATGCAACTACCTTACATATATGCTTGGAGTCCATCCACCAAAAGCCAGAATCTGTTTAAAATACTGGGAAGTGATCACAAAGGTTATGACTATGCCTCTTGCTCGCTTCACGAATAACAAATTCAGAAAATAAGAATCTATGCACCCCCAAAATGTTGAAATTGGAAACAAGGGACAAAACAAAATTTTTCCTTTATAAAATAACACACCATTAAAATGGAATCTTTCTGTGTTTGTGTTTGTGTCTGTGCGTGTGTGTTTTGTGGGTGTACCAAAGGAAAAATAAGAAAATTGTCTTTCAAATTTATCTATACTGATAGATACAAAAATAAAAGAATCAGAAAAAAATTGGCTGACTAATAGCTTTGGGGGAAGAAAAATGCCAAAATAAAAGATGATAACTGACAATATTATACTCTAATGACAAAATAAAACATTCAAGAAAAGAGTATCCTCCAAAGACACTTCTTCAAATGTGTGCATAGCAACGCCCTAAAGGAGGTGCAGAACCTAGCCACGTTCGGAAGGAAGTGCCCGTACTTACACAGATTGCAGTGTGCCTGTAAGGAAGTGTGGCCTTCTCCACGCACTGTCCGTTGGTGACATTCCAAATACACATCTCCCTAGCAGAGATAACCTTGTATTATTCTCTGTCATTTCTACTCAATTGGCTGGAATAATTTTTGTGCTACCAAGTTTTCTTTAGTGCTTCACTTAAAAGCAGCCGGATCGTTTATGTGCTTTTTGTTACAGATTACTGGGCAAGGAAATGTGGTGGTCATTAGCAAGGATGACATACTGTAGCTGTGTCTTTTTTTGTGGGTAATTATACCCACAGCCAGCCTACAAATCTTATCCTTGTGCCAACCTGACCTACAACAAATTGTGGGGGCACAGCTATCACAGCCTGTTAGAGCGACAGTGTAACAATCTCTCCGTGGAAGCTGCATCCTCTTGAATACGGTTTATTTCACTGAACTTAAACTACATATTCTGAAAAGCGTAATGCATCAAGTGCTGCGTTTTGTGGAGCCGAGGCAGCATTTCTGTAAAAATAAACAGTGCCACCAAGAGGCCACGTTTGGTCTAGTAATGATGGGGCTTATTTCTTTGCTTCTCCTAAAATCCTGATATCATCCTTGCTACTTAATGTTTGGAAAACACATTGTTTAGAAAACTCTTACTTGGTTACATTTTTGTTACAGAGATATACAAACAGTTATGAAATAATAGCTGCCAAAAAGATTTAGTGAAAATAGTTTAAATGTCTATGATTTCTGCTCACAAAAACCAGAATGGCTGTTTCAGAACATTTGGGTAATAGTCTTCCATTTTGACAGCTTCAGAACATAAACAAAATTTTTCATGGACTAAATTGAAGTTTTATTGACTTTAAGGGAGAAGCTGCTATTAAGAAAACAAGATGTGGACTAACATTGTTAATTGCATTTAGTAATTTGCTGGCTGGTGGGTTTTTGTGTGTTTTGTTTTGTTTTGTTTTGTTGTTTGCTTTTTTAGCCAAACACCAGGATTCAGTCTTCAAGTGAGCAATTCTCAACCTGGGGCAACTTTGTCCCAAATAGGATATTTGACAATGTATAGAGATATTTTCAGGTTGCCACAATTTAGGAACGCACTACTGGCATCTAGTGGAGAAAGATCAGAGATGCTGCTAAACATCCTGTAATGCATAGGATGGTCCCCACAACAAAGAATTCTTCAGTGGTCTAAATGTTATCAGTACTGAGATTGACAAATCATGTTCTAGAAACAAAATATTCTTTTTTTTATTTCTGTTGATATCAATCCTTATTCCAAAAATAAATGGAGGAATAAAATTCAGAACTGGGGAAAAAAAATTGTGTGTGTCTGAAATATAAGACTGAGAGAATGGTAGAAACTGAAATAATGTATCTCATAGGTAAAAAAAAAAATGCCAAAAGTAAAAAAAAAAATAGAATCCTAAGTAGTCATCAATATAAAATTTTACCTCTGTAAAGAATTAGAGTTTATCAGCATGGTTTTCAATTTATCTATGTATCAATAATCACCTGAGAATATATTTTTTAAAAAATACCCTCAGAGATTCTAATTTCATAGCTCTGTATTGGGACCCTCGCACATGGAATTTTGAAACACTCCTGGTTAGTTAACCTGTTTTTAGGTTTCTATCTCCAAACTAGTGGTTCTAAATCCTGGCTATATTGTAGAATTATCAGGGAGCTTTTAAAATATACTAATATCTGGGACCCAACCCAGATATCAAGCCAAATTAATTAAATCATATTTTCCATGGTTAAAGCCTGGGCATCAATAAAAGCTCCCCCAGTGACACTAAGGTTTCTAGACTCTCTTCTCCAAATACGTCTCTGAACAAGCAGCCTGAGCATTGTCCAGGAATGTGCTGCAAAATGCAAGTTCTGGAACGTCAGCCCAGACCTAATGAACCCATTCCTCCAGTAGTGGGGCCCAGAAATTTGTATTTAAACCAACTCTGCGGGTATTCTGATGCAAGCTCCAGTGTGAGGGGCGCTGTCCAACCTCCGACCGAGCCTGGGCGCCTGCTCACCCCTTGAGTCTCATCTCTTGCTGGTGATTAAAAGTTGAATAAATAAGTAAAAATCCTCTTTATTAATGCCAACACTTTTTGCCTCAAAGTTTTATTAACTACATATATTTATTAAAGTAAAATACTAATACAGTTATATCAACCTTATTTGGGTTAGTATTTATCTGATCTTTTCCATCTGCTTACTTTTAACTTTTCCAGGTCCTTATGCTCTTTCTTTTTTAAAATTATATGCTGTTTCTTTTTTTTAATTATCTGCCAGTTTTTATAATTTAAGTGAAGGGCTTAGTGCCTTTACATAATTTAGATTGCTGTTCCATTCTATTTCAACTATCTTATTTTGAGCTTTCTATCTGTCCCATTTATTTTTGTCTTCTTTGGATCAAACAACATTGTTCTTTTTTTTTTACGTTGAAGGCTATACATTCTATTTCTTTTAGTTTTCTTTTTCTGTCTGTTCGTTTAGCAGCTACTCTGGAAATGTCACCATATACATCTAGCTTAAAGTCTAAAGTTAATCAACATCTTTACCCACCTCTAAAACACCAGAACATGCGGAATCTCATCATTACAGTATTATGTGCAATTTTGATTTAGGATCGTGTGGGTGCAGGGTGAGGAGTATATATAAATATTACTGTGTCTTAAAGTCTGTGTCTATTTAATTTTAAAAATATTTGCTGTGTCTGGTTCAATATTCTTCTCTCAGCTCAGATTTTCCTTCTGAAATCATTGTCCTCACTGAAGGATATAATTTAGAATTTCGTTACTTATAGAGGGTCTGTTGGCAGTAGTTGAAAGTTTTATTAGTATTTAACTTAAATATTACTAATTTTCCCTCATATTTTGAAGATATTTTTGCGAGAAATATACTTCTAAGTTGGTAGCTACTTTCTCTCAACTTTCTAAAGATATTTTACTGCCATCATGTTTTATTTTACTGTGGAGAAGTCAGCTCTCAGTTTAATTAGCATTCCTTTGTAAATAATGCCTTTTCATTCTGTCTCCAAGTGTTTATTTCTTTTCATTTAACCTAGAATTCACTGGGAGTCCTGAATCTTAGAATTCATGCCTACACATGATGTAACACGTCGGGGAAATAAAGTGAAAAACTAAGTCATGAGGCAATTTTGATTCCCCTCTGATCACCTTGGAGGCAGAAAGGCTGAGCCCCCAGCCACTTCCTGGGACTTCTGAAAACTAAAACAAACAAACAAACAAAAACACATTGTCGTTTGGGAAATAATAGGCCAAGCCGAGTAATTTTAATAATTTCCAACAGATTAAATTAGAGGTTAAGTATGTAGAAGTTCTAAGAAATATATTATAGATGTAGGATAAGTTTTGGACACCAAAGGAACAGAGTCCTAGAAAATTCAAGTCCTATTGGAAAAGGAAGACCAAGCCAGACCTCTTGGTTGTTTAACAATCATATTTACAGGATTCATACAGCTGAATCCATCAATCATCAAGAATCTGCCCATTAATTCTACATTCTTTTTTAGAGCTAGACCACTATGGGCAAAAACCTCCATCTGGAACTCAGTTACTTTTCTTAATTGTTTCTCACTTAACTATTATTTTTCTCAATTCTCCAAGAAAAAATTCACCACCACTCCCCAAATTCTCTAGAGTGGGAATAAATATCCCAGCATGTGTAGCAGGCTTTGTAGCAGCCCTATTGTACCAAAGCTACCGGCAACTGTTAAAAGAGAATGTACTAGGCCATTTCACTTTAGCCTTACTCAGAATTCAATCCAAGCATAACAATTAGGGGAATGGGTATTTCTTTGGTATAAGCTGTGGGATTAAGTGCTTCTCTGATATCAGTTCCACTAGCCATTTTGGTATAAACTATTTAGTTTCTTCAAGTTGGACACTTGATTCCTCATTCTTTTGGTTCTCTGAATTTAAAGCCACATAATTTCTCCTTGGACTAAAAACAAAAAAAGGAGGGGCTCTCTTGTTTCAACCTGTAACCTTACCCGTCATTCACAAATCCATACTAAATCAATTTTGCATTCTTGAGTACACTTTGGCAAATAACTCATCAGTGGAGTCTAGTTCCTCATAGTTCTTCCATCCGTGGGGCTTTTTCCTACAGCTGAGTCCTACTTCATAGAAACAAACCTCACTTCTATGAAACAGAACCCAAATCACTGTCTATGTCTCTTTCCGTTCTCTCTTCCACCATTCCACTTACAATTGAATCTGATCCTCTGCTCATTTTATAATGATTTCAAGCAAGTGTACAACACGAAGATTGTAACTACTGAATTGTTTTACAAAACTCCCAAGTTATGGATGGGTTTGCTTAAGAGCTCAAGGTGAAGTGCTATGTGAAAAAAGACAAGCACCAAGCTTTTCCATTTTCAAATCTACTATAGAGTGAGGCTGCCAAAAAGCCTGACACGCACATTGGGATGTTTAACTATTGGGAGTCATAGTACAGACTACATTCCTTGGGATCATCACTCAAATTACCCAACCATTCAAAAGCTAAACTTTTCTAAATGTGAAAGGAACATGTTAATCGCTAAGGTTTCCTCCAGCCCTAGAATTCTGTACCCCATCAGCTGTTAAAACTGATTCTCACTCATTCTGTTACCGGAGAGGAAATAGAGATGGGTACAAAGTTCCACACATCATACCTACCCATTTTCAGCAGCACTAACAACATAGGGCTGTTTAGAGAAGTCTCTCGCTCTTGCCAAACATGTTACTGAAGCTGAATGACCAAACAGAAGTTCTTTTGCTGAAATCTGAAAATGATAAGGGTAAGCTTTTAAATAGCTGTAAACTTTTTAGTTGAGAATATAAGCATGACATTACATATATATTCATAATTCTGCTAAGTAAATCTTGTTGTGTTTTTGCTGTACATAGTCAGGAAAACTGATATGTGGCATATCGAAATCCACAGAACTTCTAAATAAAGATACTGTGCTGTACAAATTATTTTGTTTGTTTTTGGTTTTGTATCCATCATGAAACCTAGAAGATTGCTAGACCGGTTTTACAATATCTAGGTTTTGAATACAAATAAGTCAGTGTTGATGTTTAGTATGTACCAAATGTGCCTCAGATGGTAGTAGAATATTAATACGCAAATTTCAGAATTCAGAAATGAGTTTACAAAACCCAAAGAAAAGATAACCCTTTCTATAAGCATTATAATACCTTATTTGACTTCTTGCTTCTGAAATACTTTACTTTTCGTTGTTAAAAATAAAATTGCAACTGAGCTATTATTTAAAATGCCAGTATTTTTCTCCAATCTGTGAGTTTAACAATATGGCACTAAGGGCTAATCCTTCCATTATTTCATGTGTGAAAAAAGTTTATCCCCCGTTACTTTGTAAAACATGATTATAAAAATTACATTATAAAATGGAAAAAATTCAAGATCCCCTAAAATAGAGAAGGGTTTGTCATTAAGGGACTAAAAATTTAATTTGAATAACTAGAAAACTTGTAGTTAATAAAACTTGTTTCAGGAGTAATAAAAATCTAATTTCCAAATGAACTAATATTCATTATGTTTTTTATGAACTATGTAAACATAGATGTATGTAGATGATAACCCAACCATATCACTGAGAACAAATTATTTCATAGCATATTGTTCTCTGCCTTCATCTTATTTCTATCATAACCAGAAATACTTCTCTAAAAGGTCTGTTACCAGATTAGATTTCTAGTGCTGCAAGGTGGGTTTTGTGGTTGGTTAGAATCACATACGACCCAAGCTCCAACTCTCTACCTTATTCCTGGGAAATTCAGAAGGTTCCATCTTAGAACAACAGAATAATGTTTCCCTATCATCACACTTGGCAATGCATACTCCTAGGAATTTAATCCCATTTCCAACAAATTGCAGGCCAAATTAAACAATGAATTGGGGCACATCAAGGACATTTCCTCCTCCAGACAAAATCCAGTATGGACAAAATATCAGAATGGAACGCCACTACTTTTGATATTAAGTCCTCACTTATTCTGCTACTAAATCCCCACATGTAGTTGAATAAGCTATGACAATTCACTGGTCTTCTAACTTTATCATACTTTAGAACTGCTATGAAGAATAATAAAAAAAATTCTACAATCACCTAGTTACTGTCTTGATGAAAGCCAGGAGAATTTTCCTTGTATTCATTGGCTCTACCTCTATGAAGCACTGTCCCCTCATACTCACTCCTACCCCAGGTACTTCCAATGGCACAAATGAGAAAGGGAAAAGAACATACAAGTTGACCAGCATCTACCAAATTCCAGGCACTGGTGTAACTTTGAAGGGCTTTTAATCTTCATTTCAAAGGTGATACAATTGAGTTCAAAGGATGTAAGTCATTTGTCCAATAATACAGAGCTGGTAAATATGAGCTAAAACTTGACTCAGATATCTCCATTCTTTCTATACAGCACCAATAATCTTCATTGTGTCATTGTTGTGTTTCCTTGTGAGTATTAAACAGAAAGAAAACAGAACATTCCGATACTAAAGGAGCATATATCTGCGAGGACGTTCAAGTCATCTCTTTTTATACTTAAAGGTATGATGAATACTAGCAATCAGTACCAGGAAACCCAGCTGAGAAAGTTTCTAACATGGGACTTGGAGAGGCTCCCTCATTAGCAGACCAAAGTTCCAGGGAAAATAGAAGTCTTTGTGAGCCAGACTCTGAGCCTGGAAGCAGCATGCACATTCTAGGCATGTGAGGAGAAGTCCAGGACAGGGAGACTAAGTCTCTAGCTCCCTTGTACCCTGCCATCTACCACCTATAGACAAGGGAAAGTCTGATGAATATTTGAATACTCCAAGATATCCAGGACTTAAATCACCTTCTTTCCCTCCCTATTCCTATGCTCTATTCTTTATCAATATCATTATCACCCCCCAATCCCACCCATCACCTAAACCCCAAACCTGAAAAATACCTTTGACTGTTTCTCCTCCTTTACCCCACATCTGACTGTTGCTCAGTTATGTCTGTTCTCTTAACAGATTTCCAGGTTTCATCTCCTCTTCTTTCCCATTGCCACTGATTGGATTCATGCTCAAAACCTTACTTGATTGCAGTACTATAGAACCCTGCTACCCATAATTCCTTCCCTTATTTTATCTCCCTCTCCCTTCAATACGCCCTTCACATTAATACCCAGTGATACTCTAAATCACAGATGTAATAACATAGTATTATGCCATCTTCTTGCAAAAAAGTCCTCAAATCCTCAATAGTACCACTTTTAAATAACATGTAGTGTTAGCTCTTGCTAGTTAAAAAAAAAAAGTCTAAAACTCTCAGCATATTAAATTCCAGACTGAGTCTGCTCCATCCCTTAGAGCCCGTACAAATGTTGCTATCACCTTTAACTTACCCTCTGTGTTCAAGGCCTCTTCAACTACTCTTACTAGTTCCCAGGGAGCAAAATATTCATGCCTTTTATACACACTTATTCTGTTTGCATTCTCCTGCCTTTGTTCCTGTTCAAATCCTGTGCATCATAGAATTCAGTTCAAACATCACCCTCAGAAAGCCTTTCTCTCCAAAACCACAATGATACCACGTCACACTGATTAGGTTGGCTATTATAAAACAAACATAAAAGAAAATAACAAGGGTCAGTGAGGATGTTGAAAAATTGGGACCCTTGAACACTGCTGGTGGGGAATGTAAAATGTAAACTGCTATGTAAATCAGTTTAGCAACTCCTCAAAAAATTTAAAATACAACTACCATAAGATCCAGAAAACCCATCCCAAAGAAGTGAAGGCAGCAATTCAAACAGATATTTGTATATCCAGATTCATAGTAGTGTTATTCATATTAGTCAAAAGATGGAAGCAATCCAGGAGTCTATTGATGGATGAATGAATAAACAAAATGTGGTCTATACAAACAATGGAATATTTTTCATCCTTAAATAGGAAGGACATTCTGACACATGTTTCAACGTGGGTGGAACCTAAGGGCATTATGCTAAGTGTAATAAGCCAGTCACAAAATAATAAATATTGTATGATTTCACTTATGTGATGTACATAGTCATACTCATAGAAACAGAAAGTATCCTACTGCTTTACAACTTCCTATTAACAAGTCTGTCTTCTACATTAGACTCTGAGAATCTTGAATAAGTAAGTGCCCTTGGTTTGTTTTTTCACTTACATAGTGGCAGGTGAGTATTCTTACCGAAATCATTTTGGAGAGAGGAAAGTCCTATCAAAATTTAGTGCAAAGAGAAAATAAGTGGCTCCCAGATCATTTTACCCCCTACTCCCGCAACTTCCTTCTCTCCTGTTGTCTTCACCTAACTGTGCCCTTTGGTTTTAAGCTGTTCTACAACCACTCAGCCACCCACATATTTATGTTCCCTCTTAAAATCTCACATATCTTCAAGGCCTCCCTTCATCTTCTACTGCCAAAACTATGCCTTTATATATACATTTTTCAAATAAAAATCAAATTAAACTACTATTAAAATATCAATGATGGACCACTCACTTGACTGCCTTAAAGATGGCAACAGGATTTGTTGAAAACTCAAAAATGCCCTTGATTTTTGAACACCCTAGAGTTTTCCCTGTTAATAGTTGATCCATTGTCATTTAAAGGTGAGGTTCAAGGGAAAAATTAAAGATGTTCATTCTTTCTGGCCCTAGAGTTAGCCACAGAAAATCTCAAATCTCACGTTCATACTAATTAGTCTCTTATTTGTGTTATTAACTTTTTTACCATGTCCTCACAGTGAATTTTCAAAAAAACAAGGCTACTCCAGCCCCCAGCTTAGATCTTCTTACCAAGTCTCCTTGTTTCTTCCACCCCACTGATAAGATTCCTATTCCTACATCAATCTATAACCATGGATTTCTCAATATCAACACTATTGGCATGTTGGATGGGATAATCCTTTGTTGTAAGGGGCTGTCATATGCGCTATTGGATGCCTGGTCTCTACCCAATTGGTGCCACAAAGAAGGGTCTGCCAACATTACCAAATGTCTTGGGGGAGCAAAATCACTTTCTGTTAAGAACCATTGCTCTAACCTCAAGCAGAAGACTTGTATTTAAGAAAAGCATGGCATAATGTCTCCCACTGAAGGTGCAGTGCTGACCTCCCTCTACTTAGAACACCTTGTGCTACAACATAACTGCCTTAGCCTGCTATAACCTCTGGGTAGGCAGCACCAGGTCTTATCATTCAGGTTTGAACTCAGGTACCTAGAGTACTGCTTAACTTATAATATCCACCAATAAATGCATGTTGAATAAATGTTTTGAATAAATACCTGGAACAAACCTAAAAAAGATACAGAAGCAAGGATTCAAATTTTCTTAAGCTATAGCAACCTACATATTCTGGCCAGAAAACATTACATTTCAACATTAAAGAGAATAGCAAGACATTTTTAGCCATTTAGGGGTCTGAGTTTAAATTATAAGAGATAAAAAATGTGAGAGCCACCATTTTCATAGCTCCTCTGTTGAAATGATACCAGCTTCTCCTTTCAGGAAGGCTCATAAACATTGAGCTGAGATGCTCTGCTATGCAGTTCTTGGCAGTCCTGTAGTGCAATTGTTCAGTGGTGGGAGATGTTAATTAATTACACTATAAAATAGAATTACAATTAATTGTTAATTTAGGTTTTAAAGTGACAAACTTTAAAGGCTAAAAATAGTCTTTGATCTTTAAAAGGCTTCTTAATGAGGGCAGTATACTTTAAGTACATCATTAGTTTAAATGTTCAAATTGGGTCTACAGGCTGCTAGAGCTAAGCAAATATCTATTCCAATATGTTAAATGTTTATGACTTAGGACAGGGACAATTAATTGCTAATCAATGGGCCAAATCCTAGATGAGGTCAGGTTCTGAAATAGGAGGACGACAATAGTAAATTGGATTTAGGGCTTTGTGATACAATCTGTAAAAATCACAGGCAAGCAGAGACTAAAAAGATAGCAAGAAGGCCAAGTGACAGAAACACCGAGATAATTAAGATATTACTCATTTAGTTAATAGTGATTTTCCAGGGTGCCCATTGTTTAGATTAATGAGCCATAATTTTTAGAATTATACTTACATGTCTGTAGTTCAGTTACTTAAACATATAACTCAGGATATAAAAATAGTAAAACTCAGCAGAGCTTAAAGGATGATAACAGCTAGTAGCTAAGATTAGCAATATTAATAATATAATTTTCCAATATGATCTTGCTCTACAATGTAACACTTCATTCTCTCCAAATCCAGAAGTAAAACCAATTTATGACTTCAGTAAGCATCTCCTTAATAATCATGCAAACCTTCCACTGTCATTGCAGATGGAAGATGCAAGCTACACTATTTTGTGTGTTGTCTGTTTCGATACAGTAGTTTTCACTAACCTTTAGCTCAGGTGAGAGACTCCAGAGACAGAGCTGACCCTCTTGACTTCCAGTCACAATTGTTGCCTGGTCATCGGTAATCATGATGGCAGTGATGCTGTGGGAAGGGGCCTTCTTTCCCCAGAGCACGACTGCCTGCAGGGAGCACCTCATGTTGAGAGAGTCCTAGAAACACAGAGAAAGGAAGAAGTGTACGCAGTAGACGTTCTTAGGGCTGGGGAAACTGATCATATATCAAAGTGGATTTATAATGACACAAATTTGAACATGTCCTCCCACAGTCATCAATTAGAAGGAAAGGTAGTCATAAGACACTGCTTAGTATTACTTTGTCAAAGAGGAATGACTTCTATTCCAATCCTTGATTACTGGTACTGATGAAGAGAAGGATAGAAATTGTCTACCCACTTCACACCCAGTTCACCCAGCTCTGACTCTGGGTGATCCCGACCTCTGCAAAGCCCAGCCATGTGTCTCAAGAATAGAGCTGTCCATGCACTACGATTTGAAAACAGCTTTGCAGACTCTCTCTCCCCAGAAATGTCACCTCACTTAAATAAATAAAAAAAAAAACTGAATTTCTCTATTAAAAAGTAAATCTTTTCCATAAAATCAATGTTTCTTGGTCTTCAAAGACTAATGTATGGCTGTCATGATTTCTGTCATATTCATGTTCCACCTACAATACATATAACCTGTGTATCACCTGTATCACCTAAAATGATCAGCTAGTGATATGCACATTACATTTCGAGGAACATTGAGTTAAAAGTTTCACCCCAAAATGGCATTCTTTTCAGAAATACAAATAATTTGGAAATAAACAATGCTGTATGTCCTTAGAAATCTGTAAGTTTTCTTCTCTGACTTAGTAGTATATATTTTATGTCAATAAAAATGTCAAAGATGAGAGAGGAGGAAGATACCAAGCTTACTTTGTACATTTGTCTTTAGAAAGTTAAGAAATGGAGATGTGTCCTGCAAGACTTCTGGTACTAAATCAAAATCCAGGTAAGTATCAATATAAAATTTCAAAACTTGTGGTGTATATTATTTATAATGTTCAGTTACACACAGATAAGCATATAGACACATGAGTATGCATTAACCCCATGAACATAAATTCAATATAGGCAAAACTTAACCAAGGAAAATGACAATTTTACTTGTAGGTCAGTCATTTGGGATTCAGAAACTAGTTTCCCATGGCTTACTTCTTAGGTCAGTATACAAGTGTATGTAACCTATAATAGAGTGGTACTATTATTACTACAGTACCTAAGCACCTTGAACACAAGATTTTTTATTGAAAAAAATTCTCAGTTTTGCAGTTCAGTATATCAGGACCGCACATATTAATCATAGTGCTAAGCTAACCAAAGAGTTCTAAATTCTGGTTTCAATAACACTCTAATCCCAACTTAAACCTCTTTCACTTCAAACACAGAAAAATAGTGCTATACATAGGAAATGCCTAGCAGACACCACTTTAATCAAGTAATGAAAGTAAACAACTTCAGTAATGGTTCAAAGGCAAATCCATGTGTCACCTGATATGAAACAATGAGAACGCACATCAACTCTGTGATATCCCTGCCAAAGCTGTAGGACCTGAATCTCATCATGACAACACAAATTGAAGGACTCCTACAAAATAACTGGTCTGTAATCTCCCAACATGTCAAGGTCATGAATGTCAAAGGAAGAATAAGAAACTGTTCCAATTAAAGGAGACTCAAGAGACAGGACAACTAAGTGCAATACATGGTTCTAGACTGGATTCTTTTGCTATAATAGACTCACTAGGCTAACTGGCAAAACTTGAATGAGGACTAATTAACTTCCCAGTTTTGAAGGATTTATTGTGATTTCAAAGGCTAATATCCTTGTTCTATATACACTAAAGTATTCTGAAAATATAGGGTAAAAGATTAGCAACTTCCTGTCAAAAAGTTTTCATGAAAATAGTTCTGTAGTTTCTACTTACTACTTGTCTGTAAGTTTGAGATTTAAAAAAATATATTATTAAAAAAATAATCAGTCTACCATTTCCCAGAATGTTTCAAAGATATGAAAACTTAGGTTCAAGAATTCAGTAAGCATTAGGAAGCTTAAAGTGGAAATTATGGACACCAAAGCACATCTTAGAGAAACTGTAGTATACTAAAGGCAAAGTATAAAGTAAATGAAATGAAATGAAACAACCTAAAAGAAACAAATAAAAAGCCAAATAGCAAGTATGCTTAAAGCAGATTTCTACACAGCTAAATAATGGTCTGAAGCTACAGAAATATTCCCTGCAAAATGCTGAAGGGAGATGAATGCCAACCTAGGTTTTTATACTTAGCTATCACTCAAAGTGAGGGCAATATAAAGACATTTTCCAACAAATAAGGCCTCAGCGAATACAACATTTAGAGACTTTGTTGAAAGAATTATGAAAGAATGTCCTTTCTCAAAAATATAATTAATTAAAAAGACAGTAGCATAAAAATTGTTAGCAGGGAAATCAGTAAACATGCAAGTCTTAATGAGCATTATTTGTAAAATAATAATATTAATAATGAGGAGAATAATTGGGGGGGTAAAAGATAAACTAAAATCCTAGATAGGACCATTAAAGAAGACAATGTAGAACTTACGTTAAATCGTACTGATGTCCTGGTATATATGGGAAGAGAGCAGAGAGAATGGTTAACTTTAAATTTTTCCAACATAACATTACATGGCAAGGTGCTAAAAGAAAAAAAAAATAGTAACTTCCAAACAGTAGGGTTATAGAATAGAGAAATAAAGAAAAGTTATCAATCCAATAGAAGAAAAAAAATCTTAAAAGCAAAAATTATGGACAATTAAAAACACAAAACCAAATTGTAAATTCACATCTAAAGATATCAGAATTTACAGTAAATAGATGAATTAATTTTATTAGTATAAAAAAGAAGATTCTCAATTAGAACATGCCTTAGTATAACTTATTTATAAAAAAATTCTAACATTATTAACACAGAAAGATGAAAAATAAAGGGATAGACAGGACATGCCAGGCAAATTGTTATGAAAGCAAACTGGTGTAATATTGGAGAAATAAGTAGGTTTTAAGATAAAAGCATTACTGGTAGAAAAGGATCACTATATAATTAAATAAATCATTCACCAAAAAGGGATAACAGTTCATAATCTCTAGGTACTCAATAGCAGAGCCTCAAAATATGTAAAATATAATCTTGCATAATTATAAAGAAAAGTTGACAAGCTTACTATTAAAGAGGGATATTTTACATATTTCAATCAATAATAAATAGATCAAGCTGACAAAAAATAAAAGTATAAAACACTTGAGCACAAAATTTATTTATAAAATGGATATATATAGATTATTACTTAAGCAAGTTATTAAGTAAAAACACATTCTACTAAGTCATGCATATGATATTTATAAAACTGACCATGGAAAGCCTCAACAAATCCCAAAGAATTAATATCATACAGACAACATTATCTAACCAAAATGAATAAAAATCTAAACCTATCCTCCAATACATACAAACACACGTTTAAAATTCTCCCTTTTTAAATATTTGGAAACAAATATAAATATATATATATGAACATATATATATGAACATACATATATATACACACACACATATATATATTCTAAATATTCCTTGGACTATCAAGGAAACAAAATGAAGTTTAGATATTATTAAGAAACAAAACACATAATAACCTCACATAATAAAACTTTCCAGATGTAGGTATTGTATTAGAAAGAAAATAAAACAGACAAGGCTATACATTAATATAACAATAATTTTTTTAAAAATCTACAAAACTATAACTGAATTTTTTAAAAGAAACAACATAAGTAAATCTGTGGCAAGTTTGATAAAAAAGAAATTAAAAACATCAAAAATAATATAAAGAGAAAATTAGTGTGATTAAAATTAATATTTTAAATGAGAATATTATAAATAGCTGTATGCCCACAATTTGGAAGGATTAGTGAAATAATTTTTATAAAAATATGAATAACTAAAACTAAATGCATATGAAACAGATAGCACAAATATACCTGTTACCATTAAAACCATTAATGTAAACATTAAAAATGGGGAATAAAACTACACATAGACCCCTGACCCGCATTTTAGCAAAAACTGTAGACTGGGTGTAATTTGAGGGAATTAGCAGGTACATCCTCACACATGAAAACACATAAGGCAGACCACATAAATTCTGTTAAGTCAAATGACAGCTCAGATAGCAGCTCACTTAAATTCAAATCAGCAGATTAAGAGCAAGGGAGAAAGAAGCAAAGAAAGAAAGAACATAATGATTTCCATCTGAAGCAGGCACAGGAAAAAAGTGAATCACACCAAAGAAAAGGAAAACCCTCAAACCCATGAAACCTGCTATTAGAGCCACGAAATCTGGCAGTCTTGGGGCCCTTGATGGATGGACAAATCATCCCTAATCTCTGTCACTTGGGAGGACCCCATTGTATTTCAGCTGACAACTTCTGCCCATCTTGTCACTGACTGGCTGAATGATAGATGAAAAGATGCCTAAAGTACTTAGCTTAAGATGGTAAAAATTACAAATTAGTAGTTTTAACAATTTCTGCAACAAAGATTTAAATAGAGAAGTTTTATATATCAAGAAAATTTGCTTTGGGGGAATAGCTCATTCCATGAATATCAGATACCTGTGATATATTAAGATCCCAAAGCAGGAGTAAGAATTCACATAGCTGTGATTTAACATTCTGCTACTAAAAAACACTCCTCCTAACTTTGTAGTGGTCCTTTAACCACAGCTTCTGGTACCACAACAAAAGTCACTGTTCAAAAATTACCTGAATTTTGACTTTCACTCCTGGCTTGGTTAAGGTGTGCTGGTCAGAACCAAGAACTAGAAGAAAAGGGAGCACTTGTGGCCACGCTGCTCCAAAGGAAACTGGGCATTTTTTGTTTACAGACAACGTGCATTTGGCTCATGTCCATGGACTTGCCTGTCACCTTTTTAACTTTACCTAGGAAACTGTAGTCAAGGCAATTTGTCTAGGTTGCTAAAGAGAACTATAACAGAAACAAATTTGGGGAACATTTACCAGGGAATTAATATATTTGTAATAATTAACTAACATT